ATGTATTTGCAGTTGGTCACGTAAACTTACGTTTGGCGATAGGTAGTGTTTGTGTTTTCTCTGTGAGTTTTGAGTGATAAGAAGTTAGTTCTCGACACTGTGTTACTACGAGGAAATGCGTGGAAACGTCTCTGAGAGATTGAACATTCGAGTGCAGTTCGATTTTATTCCCAACGTTAGAGAGGAAACCCACGTTTTGAAGTGCGAACAGCAGCCAAATTCTACGAAGACTTCAGGGTCGTCTCGCTTAGTAAGTGGCTCATTTACCTACTACGATGATCAGACAACGCGGATTGAAAACAGTCATAAAAAACAGCCGTTTTTTAATACCTAAAAATTTTAGTTGTTTCCAAGAAATTATATTTGCTTTATGTGCCTCAGTTTGATGTACACTATGCGTACATTTCGGTTATGTGAAGGGTATTTTTACAGCCTGCATATTTGAATACGTTCAGCGAGTTTTGTGTATGGATGTGTAGTTGGCGACATATTATTTGTACCGATTCGTCTTACTTTTAAAGCACAATAGGACAAAAGAATCTTTATCTTTAGTGTGCAATAGGTACAGAAGAGTAAGTCATCTCGGTGACCGACGTGCCATCTGTTTAAACACTTTTAACAACTGCACAGTTTAATACATGTTTACTCTTTGGCACTTAAGGCTCAAGTCACACTGGCGCAGAGTCGAAGCGTCGCGTCGCGTCCTGTTTTTTAACTACGACGCCTGGCGACGAGTGTCGCCGCTCGCCGACATTGCCGCCCTCTCTCCGCTTGTATCTTATCATTTTTTTTATTTTACATGTATTTAAATTTGAATTGTTCCATCTTCCTTCACTTTCTCATTTTGTTTTCGTACCACGGTCACTCCCAGCTCGACCGCCACAACAGTCAGAGCTGTTAATAAGCTAATCATGTGTAATAATTTATAAGTCTACACCCTTCATGTATCTATTTCTGTAATTCAGTTTCTCGGCCCATTTAGGGCCTTTCTTTAAATTTTACTTCTTCAATAAATTTTGTGGACCGGAAGTTTCCCATTTCATTGCCGTGAACCTGTTCACGGCTAGTTAGGGTTACAACCCTTTCAAAACACTGGAAATACGACCCTAATTGCAAGGACTTAAGTATGATTTCTAGTGCTTTGAATTATACTCAAGTCCTGACTTGAGCATTGAGTAAAGTTCTAGAATACGACCCATAGTGTCTTACGCCTCAGTGCGCCTAAGCGACGCGTGAATGCGCGCGTTGTCGCGCATTTTCATATTTGCATAACACAAATTTATACCTTAATAATGGGAAAATAGCATCGAGTACATAACCAGAAATAGAGACGAAATAAGGGCCATATATTCCTGGTTAAACATTAGCGATACAGCTCTTATAAATATCAACTCCCGTTTGCATTGAAATATAGACAGGCCAACTAACTGACCTGTGTGTACGTCTCCGTATATTCCAAAAAATATTCTGTATTTATTGTAATAAAGATATATCTCTAACAATGCCGTGCTGTTCTATTCGGTGGTGTGGGAAAAACAGCAAAACATCTAATTA